CTTAATTTGTGAATTATTGCTATTTTGATTTTTTCCTGATTAAAAATGTTATTAATCTTTAATGTGGCCAAAATATAAGTTCCTAGTGTTATCGAATATTTTTGTGTTGATTTTTAAAAATTGCCTGTCTAACTTTTATTACATCTGGCGGATTTCACCAATATCATACTATTCTATTAATGTTACTATGTTTTTTTTACTATCTCTGTTTAATATAAACATGTGTAAATAATTTAAATTCAAATTTCACCAAAGTTACACTCTATTGATACATCAGGAGGTCTTCAAAGTTACGTACGTATGCCGTACGTACGTCAGTGTTAGTGTAACAAAATGACACGTCAGTGGTTAAGGGTTAAATGTTAACAGCAAAAAATGGAAATATTACTAAACAATAAATAAATAATCCCAATAAATACATCTGATCTCATTTGAAAATTTATGGGAGAATGTTATATTTCATTATCACCTCTAAGGCCGCCGACACGTGTAGTAATAAGATTCTTACTTGTTTATTTTCAAAATTTTTTTGTCTCATAGACGTGCTACAATAAGCTAAACAGGTTTTAACGATTGCGATTTATCAACAAAACTCTACGTGCTTGCGACTGTATTAAAACAATAACAAACAGAGTTACTTTTGCAATTCTATTTACTACTAGCTGACCCGGCGAACTTTGTTCCGCCTTAATGGCAATAAATAAGCAGACTTTTTTTTTAAATTTCGAACGGGATAAAAAGTATCCTATGTCCTTCTCCTGCCTCTAAACTACCTCCCTGACAATTTTCAGCTAAATCGGTTCAGCCGTTCTTGAGTTATAAGTGGAGTAACTAACACGACTTACTTTTATATATATAGATAGATGTTATCTATCTTGTAATTGTAAAGTGTTTATTTAATAAAAGTATTTTCATTTTCATTTTCATTTTCATATGTTAGCATCATCTTGAAGCTTTTGCTAATCAATTGATTTGGGAAGATTCTAATCTGCGCACTGCGCTTTGTTACTATTACGAGTAGGTACTTGTAGCAACGCATGAATGACACAGTCTTCTTCTTCTTTCCTATGCAACCGCATTCCCCGTAATCCCAGCCCTAGTCTTCAGTTTTTCAGGCATTACATAAGGGACGGTTCAGTTGATAAGCCATGGTCCGAAGCTCTACAATGAAAAAAATGTTTGATTACTGCTTACACAACAAAAGTGATCACCAAACTAAGTGATAGCTATAACCAAACTAAGTCCAGCTCACTACAGAATTATTTGTTTAATTTACACAACATATTGTTCCTCATAACCAAAGTGTTCGGTGGTCACTTGTGATNTCGCGAGCTGAATAGAAATGTGCGGCTTTGGGAGAGATGGCTTGACGACAGTATCAAAGGAGGTAATAAAAATGCAACAATCATAAAAATCATCTGGCTTTAAACATTGTAGAGCTTGTATTTTGGCAACTAAAGAATAAAGAAAGGAACTTATGAAAAGCATTTTTAGTTCTTCATTCAGGTGAACCGTTTGCTCGTTTGCCTCCTGTATACTTAAAAAAAAACAGATATTCATGAAATGTTAAATACCTAAAAGTACCTAGTCTTTGTTGTTTCTTTTAACAACAGCCCTCAGAAAAAAATCCTCAAAATTGGTCCAACTTTTTCAAAAACCATTAGTTCTTTATAACTACCGTGTGTACCTTTCTTATACATTTGTAAACATTCCTTGAAAATCGATACAACCTTTTAAAAATGCATTTAACGAAAGTACTTATGTAGCTATTTTGATGTAGCAAACAGACTCTTCAATTTTATTTACTTATTTGTATAAGTATGTAAACATCAATGACACAACAAATAATCTGAGCAAATTCCACAGCCCTGCTCGCCGATTAGAGCTAGACAAAGTGATGGCCATGTCGAAAGGTGAATCGGCCGTATCAACAGGCCGGCCATTGTCTCGGGCGAGTCATAGTTTATGCCATCGATTGTCGTCTGAGGAGGCTGTGAGGCCTTGGAGACCCTCAAAAACAAAACTCCCTCATCAGCGATGTTCCTCCTGCATGGAAAACTGTTTATCTTTTGTTAATCGATTGGAATGATCCGAGTTTAGATACCGAATTATGTAATAGCTACTCTTTCTTTCTTTTTCTTTCCCACATGTCCAAAACAATTTAACCAGAAAACCAAAAGAAAACGTAGCCAGCAAGAAATCGTCGCTCGACTATTGTGGATGAGCTCACTCGTGATAGGTACAAGCATACTTAGCTTAGTACGAGGGGCTAACGGGACTATTAGTAATTTGTGTAGTAACAAATTATTAATAAAATTAGTGCCTTTTTTGGGATATCAGAGCACGCAGAAATCTTATTAGTCACTTATACAAATAAAATCTTAATTAATTATAATCGACCAAACTTTTATATGACGATTCTAGAAATAATAATTATAAAACCCCCACGTATAAGTTGTCGTTTGTCTCAATATTTTAGCAATGCGTGTCGCAAATCCCATGTCCCACTTACGGGTAACCACAGCGTGCTTTAATACTACGCCGCGCGGCACCCATGCGTGGACGGTGGCCGGTTATGTCACTGCGATCTGTACATCCAGTGGCTAATTGCCCTAAAATTTGATGAAGATTGTCAAGGGTAGTGATTGTTTTATTTAATGACTGTAGAATGCAAGTTGAAATCGGTTGTAGGGCTTACACGTCCAAATACAGGGTGTCCCAAAAAGTAATGTCAAGCCAAAGCCCAGAGACAGAGCATCACTAGGGCTACCCGAATCACTGTGACTTTTGATAGTTATCGAGTTATAATTTTTTTACAACATACAGGATTTTTAACGTTTTTCGTTTACATTCGTGTTATGGATGTAAATAGTTCTAAATCAGTCAAATTATACTTATGGTAGTTGAAATTTTATTCAGAGTTTTTCTAATCCCAGATTAAAGAAAGTTGCGCCATAGCAACTTTAGGCCGTCTAAAAACTAGCCGTACAACAGTTCCACCACACATTGTGTCGGAAGCCGGCAAGACAATCGCCACAATCGTGGGAAGTGACTGGTGCCGCTACTGCAGCCACTTACTTCAAGTACAGGTCGCTTCAGAAATACTGACTATTACTGACACTTCAGAAATTAAGATGTCTATAACTCTTATAAACCGCTTAAGTTAGACGCTTGAAATTTGGTATGCAGGTACCTTAGTAAGTAAACTTAAAGCTTAGTTACAACAGGATATTGCAACATTTGTATGAAAAAATCTAAACCGCGTAAGATAGATGAAGGGGGTAAAACAGGATCCACGCGTACGAAGTCGTGGGTGGCGGCTAGTAGATATTAAAGAAAGAAAATAATCTGCAAATGCAACTTTTAGATGAAAAAAAAAACATAATTAACTAGAATAAAAAAATAACGAAAACTAATAACTTGCTAAATGATTTTCTATCCATCTTTAACCTAAGTATATATTCTCCATTTGTCTCCTTCACTTTTAACACTTACGCCCGTATTAACAATCGATGCTTACTTAAGCGAAGCATCAAATCGAACGCACAGTGTTGAATAGAGCTCTGTGATCGGTTTTATGTGTCACCCTGTGCGTCCACGCGCACTGTGAGACCTCATAGTAATGTTATAAGAAAACTAATAACTTGCTAAATTATTTTCTATCCATCTTTAACCTATATTCTCCATTTGTCTCCTGCACTTTTAACACTTACGCCCGGGCGCCCGTATTAACAATCGATGCTTGCTTAAGTGAAGCATCAAATCGAACGCACAGTGTTGAATAGAGCTCTGTGATCGGTTTTATGTGTCACTACTGCAGCCACTTACTTCAAGTACAGGTCGCTTCAGAAATACTGACTATTACTGACACTTCAGAAATTAAGATGTCTATAACTCTTATAAACCGCTTAAGTTAGACGCTTGAAATTTGGTATGCAGGTACCTTAGTAAGTAAACTTAAAGCTTAGTTACAACAGGATATTGCAACATTTGTATGAAAAAATCTAAACCGCGTAAGATAGATGAAGGGGGTAAAACAGGATCCACGCGTACGAAGTCGTGGGTGGCGGCTAGTAGATATTAAAGAAAGAAAATAATCTGCAAATGCAACTTTTAGATGAAAAAAAAAACATAATTAATTAGAATAAAAAAATAACGAAAACTAATAACTTGCTAAATGATTTTCTATCCATCTTTAACCTAAGTAAGTATATATTCTCCATTTGTCTCCTTCACTTTTAACACTTACGCCCGTATTAACAATCGATGCTTGCTTAAGCGAAGCATCAAATCAAACGCACAGCGTTGAACAGAGCTCTGTGATCGGTTTTATGTGTCACCCTGTGCGTCCACGCGCACTGTGAGACCTCATAGTAATATTTGTGAATACGGGAGTAAATGACCTGACGATGATGATGATAATGACTTATTTATCACAACAAAAAACAAAAAAACTATCCAAAATTCTCAGGAAGTGTCAAGTACTTAATCATTACATAAATAACGCTCCGTGTCATTTAATTGAGATTATGAAGTAAAAGTACATCATATTTTTGATCCCAACTGTACGTCCCCGGTTAATTATTTGCCGGCTAAAGGCGGGGTTCGTTTTTGCCCATTATTGTGTGCAGGTCCTTGTGACATGCATACATACATTCCTATTAGTGTTATTACCTATTTGATAATGCGGTTAGGGCCAATGTCAAACTAAATAATGGTGCTTTAATTAATTACAGGACTGCTTAGGCTGTCCAAACCTTCATTACGAATTGCTATGGATAACGTGTTTTTTAACCACATTCGTAAAATGATTCTCTTCCCTAGAGATCCTTTACCTCACTTTATCTAACGTTTACTCGAGATCTTTGCCAGGTCAAGAATATTCTCGGTTTAGCTCCTTATATTCCAACTTAACATGAATATTCCGAGATATTTGCATGTATATGAAGTACCTGGTAATTGATAAATAATGAAAATACGTGAAGGCATTAAATAGTTAAACTTAATTTTATTTTGTACCATAAATCACTTGAAGGACTCAAATATCTCACTCAGAGCTCTACATTCAAAATTCAGTTGATTACTTGAAAATAATGACTTGATAATTTATTTTATATTACACCTATCACTGCTCATATATTTACAGAACAATAATTGAGAAAAAAGCCTTGAAGCCTTTCTCCGTAACTCTTCAATCTATCAAATATAAGCGCCACCATACAGTCTTCACCAGAACTAACTGGTTGCACCTAGCGCCATCTATCACAGCCACTGCTCAATCGGAGTAAAGTCGACGTCTCCTGCGCCGTGCGGCGCGAGGTTCCGTGCTCGCACGCCAGATGGCGCCTGTCGTCTGAAGTACTCGGCTACGTTGCCGCTCATGCTGCCGTAGGGAATGCCGCCTGAAATTCAGGAAATAAAGGACATTTTAATTAAATGTTAACAGCAAAAAATGGAAATATTACTAAACAATAAATAAATAATCCCAATAAATACATCTGATCTCATTTGAAAATTTATGGGAGAATGTTATATTTCATTATCACCTCTAAGGCCGCCGACACGTGTAGTAATAAGATTCTTACTTGTTTATTTTCAAAAAATTTTTGTCTCATAGACGTGCTACAATAAGCTAAACAGGTTTTAACGATTGGTATTTATCAACAAAACTCTACGTGCTTGCGACTGTATTAAAACAATAACAAACAGAGTTACTTTTGCAATTCTAATATTATATTAGCATCATCTTGAAGCTTTTGCTAATCAACTGATTTGGGCAGATTCTAATCTGCAACCTTTCAATGTTACAGTCTTCTTCTTCTTTCCTATGCAACCGCATTCCCCGTAATCCTAGCTCTAGTCTTCGGTTTTGCAGGCATTACATAAGGACGGTTCAGTTGATAAGCCATGGTCCGAAGCTCTACAATGAAAAAAATGTTTGATTACTGCTTAACTAAGTGTTAGCTATAACCAAACTAAGTCCAGCTCACTACAGAATTATTTGTTTAATTTACACAACATATTGTTCCTCATAACCAAAGTGTTCGGTGGTCACTTTTGTTGTGTAAGCAGTAACCAAACATTTTTTTCATTGTAGAGCTTCGGACCATGGCTTATCAACTGAACCGTCCCTTATGTAATAATGCTTGCAAAACTGAAGATTTTTAACTTATCATCATTTCTTTTTCAGGAAGCTCTAGGCCACCATCATTCCCTTCTTTCCGTCCCTTATACATTCTCGTAGTTCTGTATCAGTCTTCACTTCAGTCTCATAGTCTATCCGTAATGTTTTAAAATGCTTACCGTATGACAGTCCAGGTCCAGGCAAGGGTGGATTGCCAGCGCTGTCAGGCCTCGCCGAAGCCAGCAGGACCAAACAGCTGGCGCAGATTATTAAGATCTGAAACGGGACAGAATAATATTTTCTTATATCCAAGTTGATTCATGTATTTATTTAATTAATAATGCGCTACCGTTTATTCAATACACGTGGCGGTTAGCTCTATCAATTTAGTGATACTCTACTTGTACTATTTACTTATCCTACACATACTTCTACACCATAAACATAGTACATCAGTAGATTGATATCAAATGATGTTTGGAAAATATAAATATTAGAATAAATTGAGCAAAATTTATGCTTTTAAAAAATCTTTTGAGCCTTATTAGCGACATAATCCACTCTACCATACAAAGACAGCTTGAACGACTTAAAAGCTCTTACAAAAAGCTTTGTCCTTGACAGTTCCAACTGGAACTAATGTGAAGGCACGACGCTAACAACAAACTTATTAGTAAACAGTTTCCCTATGGCTATAATTATTTATGCGTCTTATTTTTTAAGTTGTAAGGATTAATATCGCATAAACATGCGTGCTGGGCCGTGGGCATGTTTTGGTATGCGGTAGTGTAGAGAAACTCAGAATCTTCGCTTTTTAACGATTGCCGGAAACGCCTTGATTTAAGTGATAAACCGGTTTAGTATAAATTGCAATAAAACTTGTGTCAATGTAAAAAATATGGGAAAAAAATACTTACTTTACCTTATTTACTACCTTGCTGTTTGAATTTTATGACAATAGATTTTAGAAGCATCCCTATCTAAGCCTAGAAGCCTACGCATACCTATCAAATCAAATCAAAATCTTTATTTACTCACACCTTTGTTTAACCTTTGGATTTGCTGCCGCGTACATAATCCAAAATGGTTAAACAATCGTTCTTATGTATCACATAGAAATAACCTTCAGAACCAACTTCGATAAAAGGTTCTCAAGGCCCAGTAAATGTCACTTGTAACTCAATAACTAGAGCACCAGTGCATATTGGGGTTAGGGTTGGTAAGATAGGAATTGTTTAGGCATTGTCATTATAATAAAATCCAAAAATATCATGCTACTTTAAAGTTTTCTACTGTAGTTTTCAAAGCTCTACAGAGTTAAATGAAACAGTTTTCAATGATGACAAGCATATAGGAGACGTGTATGAAGATGAACTACATGAAAATTAAGAGTATAATTCAAATTGTTTATGCCTAGTTCCTTGTAAATACAGAACAGGTCCAGCAGTGGACAAACGATGGCACTCTTCAGCAAGATGGAACTTTAATATAGTCCTTGAGTGCATACGCAAAACTGACTTGAGATAACGATGACCATTACAGTAATTGAAATACATTCTTAAATTAAAATAAACCCGTGAAATATTTGCGGTGAAAATTGCCCAATAATGTCGGTCTCGGGCTGGCTGACTCGAGATCCGAGGAATGCTGATTCGAACCCCACCGCTGGAGTTTTGTGGTAAACCCACTCTTAGCACAAGCATATTTCGCCCACAAGGGGTTAACGGGACTATTTGTTATTTGTGCAATAAAAATACTTTTTTTTAATGGTTTTGCTCTTATTGTCATTTGTCAACCCTGCGTGGTTATTTAATACCATTGTCCAGGTTTGACCTCAACCATTTTGAATGTACACGCTGTTGCTAAGTCAGTAATAGTGCACACGAGTTCTGTGTGTCAGTGTCAGGTATCAATTTATTTATTGGGCTTATTAAAGAGCCAAAGGCGTGTTGTTTTATAATATAGTGGAAATACGCCAGTTACTTGCGTAGGATATTAATGAGATTTGCAAGCAGTTAATAACCTACGGAAAATGTCAAAGATTAATATTTTGACTCTGATCGACATGCACTTATGACCGCATCATGGGGTGAGTTCGTAAGATTAAAAGTGTCAAATGAATTGACATTGTCAACCAGTAGAGTTCCCAATTTCTGAAAATAAGCTGAAAACATCGTTTTGGGATTTGTGTCAGAAACTTGACACAAAATTCCCAATACTCGCTCAGTTGTTAGTATTGGAAAGTGAAAATTACGTGTAATTTTATTGCAGGTCCAATAAGGAAAGTTGTTTTATTGAGCATGCTATAAAAGGAGGATAGTAAAGTTATGAAATGAGAGCTTTTTTTGGAGTATGTAGTTCTTTATGACTATAGTAAAATCATTGAATAATTCAATGTTTTAAGCTTGTTCAAAATAATGTTTGATAGCGAAACTACAAAAGTTTTACACTTTACAACTGAATAATGTAAACAATGCTGAATTGTTTTTAATTTCAAACCATTCAAAAATCTTGTCAGTCATCTCTCCCTAAACTGCAATAGCTCTTATTCCATAAACACAATTTATGACTGACGCCATGTGCCGAATTTTATTATTTTATTGACTTGCATGCCACGTGTTGACTTAATGAATATTGATTAATCGTTATTGTTATTGATAATTCACTGACCTGTCTCAACCGAAGCATGATGACTGCGGCGCGCGAGTGAGCAAGCCCTCGCGAGCGCGCCGCTTAAATCGATGGATCAATCGAGCGATTTATTTGGCGACCGATCGAGAAACAAACGAGTGATACGATATTATTCACATCGAAATTAACCTAAGCTGAATTATTCTTCAAACGATTCTATTTTTCAGCTTTAAATCCACCTGCAAAATTACAAGCTTTCATTGTAAGCTAATATAAAAAGTTATTTAACTTCAAATCTATGAATCATGTAGGATAGAGTAAATTTTTGGACATAAAGACTTTACAAAGATTCCTGCGACATTTAAGTCGGTGTTTTATGTATGAAAATGAACATCTGTTACACGCGAATGAGTTTTCACATTTTCAAATATACCAGCGCTCTACCTTTTCAAAATGTATGGACTATCGAGTTTTTTTTCTAGTATCGGCTTGAAAATATGTTAAAATGGTTTTTAGCATGAGCATAGCTTGAGGGCTTGAGTATTAAGGAAATCTAGGTGCTTATTTTGAAACAAACGCTCAGAACTGGAGCATAGATTAAAACCTGCGATTGCTTTAATTTCAATATTTACAACAATTATAGACTGCAGTCGGTGTTTGAGTTTCTATCATTTCATAATACGGTTCGTAAACAGCATGTAAAACTTCCTGTTGAGACACTCGCAAAATTAAAACATACTTTCTATTTACTCATAGATACATAAACGATATTTACTAATGTACACACACATCATCTATCGCCACTTCTTCTTAGCACCAGCCAATATGTTGTCCCGAAGTAGTGATAGGGCAAGGTATATTGGGACATGTAGAAGTACCCTGAAAAGGGCTCACATACTAATGATAGTATCATCAGTTTCTATCGATTCACGAATAAGTACCCGACAGTGAAACTGCTACGTCTAGATAAGATATGACCTTGAAAAGTCCGTAGCCTTTAATAAAACGTTTAAGTTCGCGATGTTTTTCATGCGTTTGTATTATCTTCCTAGTAGGTACTGGGACGGCACTACGAGGTAATAAACACTTTGGTATCTTATGCTGTTTGTAATAGGTGTTCATTTGCAACAAAGATGATAATATGTTTCTGATTTGCTACAACTTATACCAAATATGTTCGTAACTTTTTATTTTGTTTCCATACAAAATGTGATATTATGATAAAACTAAGTTTGTGCACAATTAATTTGTAAGAAAAAAATGAGTTCATGAATTCCTGTTATAAATAAACGGAGAATTTAATTTACCTACATCACTTTATTATGTAGTTGTAGACCAATTAAAAGCAATGTAAACTAACGGATAAATAGCAAATATAAATATTGCGTTGCATAAAATACGTTCTAATTGCAGTTGTACCTATATTTAAAGATTTCAATATTCAATATAGCTTTTTTGTTGAATAAGCTTCCAAAATGTAGCAAAGTTTGATATCTCCTTAGATTTAATTCAAATATAAAATATGCATAAAACATCGTTATCAGATTCAACTGTTTTACTTATTCACCAAATTAAAATTTAATACTCTAATAATTCTCCCGCAGCTGTTCTTTCTACAATTTTGTATGATTGATTGCTTCCTCAACTAATACGGACATGATCCATGGTGTAGTTTACTCTCAAATCCTATTCCAATTACAGAAATCATCATCATCACAGCACGTCATCCTAAACATTTTCGTTGCAACATCAACCCTATCACAACTACATAAGATTCAACTGTGTTCAACTTGACGTGCCGTCACGTAAATCATCGTAAACTGTATATGCGATTCGTTAGCAACGTCCCTGACCCTAGCTAAGCTTCCTTACGCAACAGATCGTTGCCTTTTCCGGTGGGGCCATAGCAAGTTCGCTTGTTATGTAAGCTTGATGGTTGATGACCAAATGAAGGCATGCTTCCTATATTCGGCCAATGAGTGATCTTAAATTCTCACTTATTAGGAAAAATAATAATATAAAAGAGTTGAGAATAGCCCAATGGTGTCGGTGTCAAACTTGCTGACTCTGGATACGGGGAACGCTGGTTTGAACCTACCGCTGCTGGACTATTGTGACATGGAAAAAAGGAAATGCTTATAAAAACTGAAATGAGCTTTATGCAGCTGAACATACATGTAGCGACCACCAAATAATTTAAATATTGATAGGATTGCAATACATATAGACTAAGAGCTACTGAACGCCAGACCTACGTTATTTTATAAAGGCTGAAAGTTTGTCAGCGCATGCTCCCAACATAGCTAAGAACCATGGCCAAACATGAAGTTTGGGTCATGGTGGCTTTGGCAGACAGACGGAACTAAAGGTGTGTAAAATACCAACTTAATTACGTCAAAGTATAAAGGCTGATTTTTTTATATTTCCTTCAAAATGTTATTAGAAATGACGTCAGTCATTGACAGACACCTACCATGGTGGCAAACCTTAGCCAGACACCTTAAAGTTCATGAAAATGTAGTCCTACTTACGTCATACTATAAAAGCTGATATTTACATAAAATATTTAAACTATCATTTGATGAAAATCCCTCATCAGCCAGACACTTCTGATGGTTCCTTCGCCTTGCCAGACAGCTTTTAGGGTGGCTGAAAGTGCGAACGCGAGGCACTATAAATATTGTTTTTTTAGTCCAGTCAATGAATGCCTTAACGACGGTGTAGAGAGAAATCCATGGAACACAATTTCTGACCTCGGGACTTTATTTAGCCTAGTTAGGTGGTGAACATAGCAAAANAACTTTTAAGTTGAAAATTTTAGAATGTTCCGCTAAAAGCATATTTTTTATGTTTCTAGCAAAAATTTTGTATCTTGCATCAAAGATAGGAAGTTGATTATTTTTTTCAAAAATCTGCAATTCATAGGGAATCTGTCAAAAAAAAGAAATCTGAGAAAAGTCGACCCAAAAAAAAGATAAAAAAATTTAAAGCCTACTGGGTCATACAATTTGAAAAAATCACAAAATTAACGATAACTTCTAAACTATGAAAAATCGTAGAACATACATGGGGGTGAAATCGATAGGTCTAGTCCTCACCTATCACCTGCCTTCGGCTTGACACCTTACAAGAAACACCCTGTAGAAAGCCACATTATTGCTGAGTGTCACAGGTTATATAAAAACCCAAACAACCACGCGGGCGAAGCCGCGGTCGGAAAGCATCTGATTAATATGAAATGTATCGTGTGTTGTACCAATTTGTCAATTCTGAGCATCTTCTGAGATTTTAAAACTCAATCATCTAGAATATAGGTATGAGAGTAGGTAAATATCAGAGGTTATTGTAATTTTAAAATCGTTTACCATTTTACGATTAAAGATCCCTAAAATTGAAAGCGAATCAAAGTCAGCACGCGGCATACCGGACCTGACGGTTGCATTTCATGAGCGCTTTGTTGCCCAAAGAGATCGTCACGGCATACAAAAGTCAATGTTAACATTCGAAGCTGATAGATTCTTAGGCTGAATTGCACCTCCTTACTTTGACCGTAACTTTAACAATAATCGGTGCTTTTTGTATAGATTTTAACAGATTTTTGACGTTTGTCAAAGTTAAAGTAAGATGGTGCAACCCAGCCTTAGTGTAAAAAACCTCATTATCAAAAAATTACAACATAATCATTTAACTAGAGTCGGAATCCAATATACTTTGGCAATTTTATTTTGTACATTATTTAATCTTTACATTATTTCACTGTGCAATCAATCAAATTGATCGGTCTACTTAAAATAACTAGGGCATTAAAACATTCGTATCATATTAAGTTGGTCATATTCGGGGTGAATTTTGCTAAAATCTACGTTATTTTTCTTTAATCACATAATAGTAGGTACATTTTTTTAGAAAAATGTTTAGCCATTATCGATTCTCAACAGATCAATGACACCTATGGGACGTTGATGACACCTATGGTATGTACAGTTGACATAACTGCACCCATTTAGTAAAATCTACAATAGGACAATTCAGATGATTTGCTGTTATGCCAAGTGCACAGAAACTGTGTTTAAATTGTAGCTGCAACTAGCACGTGTATTGGCTCTTTCCCTTACCATTCATTATGATTTTTGTTTATAACTGACACATCGTAAGTTTAAAGGTAATTCAATATATCAGTTTTGTTAAAACCTTAACTAATAAGGGAGAGTCCGCTAATTTGGACCAGTTTTTTTCAATCCCATTTTACACATACTTTTCTTTTGTTTTTGCTAATGTCCATGGTATATAATAAAAGATAAATTATTCAACTTACTATTTCATAAGTATTAATTAACATGATTGTTGTATATTTAGCACAAATCAACAAAATACGAGCTCAGAGCTTCGGTNATGCAGACATGATGATCGTTGTTCGTTTTGAAAATTTAGAATTGGAGTTGTCAAACTATTGTTGTAAAATGCCGTGACTTGCCGGCGCCCTAACACTTTTGTCGCCTTTCTAGAAATCCTCTAACAGTCACGGTAAACGGTACGCTCTGCTACCATGAAGGATTTCTAATGAAAAGCGAGTTCAAAATACATTTCAGTTTATTCCTCGAAAAGGTAAGTGACACACAAAGAACGTCAATAAAAAAAATATTCTTTTTAAACCAAACCATAGACTACTAACGAACTAATGCGTTCCAATTACTTCACATAGTCTATCCGTTATGCTTTAAAATGCTTACCATATGACAGTCCAGGGCCTGGCAAGGGTGGATTGCCAGCGCTGTCCGGCCTCGCCGAAGCCAGCAGGATCAAACAGCTGGCGCAGATTATTAAGATCTGAAACGGGACAGAATAATATTTTCTTATATCCAAGTTGATTCATGTATTTATTTAATTAATAATGCGCTACCGTTTATTCAATACACGTGGCGGTTAGCTCTATCAATTTAGTGATACTCTACTTGTACTATTTACTTATCCTACACATACTTCTACACCATAAACATAGTACATCAGTAGATTGATATCAAATGATGTTTGGAAAATATAAATATTAGAATAAATTGAGCAAAATTTATGCTTTTAAAAAATCTTTTGAG